GGGAGAAGCAGACTCCCAGCTGAGCAGGGAGCCCGATGCGGAGCTCGATCCCAGGACCCTGGGATCATGACCTGAGCCGAAGGCAGACGCCTAACGACTGAGCCACCCAGGCGCCCCACCAGCTATGGTTTTATTCGTGCCCATTTTATCTCTTCAGTTTAAAAATACTTATTGAAAAAGTAGTAATTTAAAAAGTTTATTTACACAAAACGTGGATGTAAAAAAAGGAAAATCTGTGGGCACCTGGGTGGCTCAGTTGGTTAAGCATCCAGCTCAGGGTTTCAGCTCAGGTCCTGATCTCAGGGTCTTGAAGTCAAGCCCCGAGTCAGGTTCCGTGCTAAATGTGGATTCTGCTGGACAGATTCCCTCCCTCCCCGACTGCTCCTCCCCCACTTGGACTCTCTCTCTCTCTCAAGTAAATAAAACCTTAAAAAAACAAAAAGGGGGGGCGCCTGGGTGGCTCAGTCATTAAGCGTCTGCCTTCGGCTCAGGTCATGATCCCAACGTCCTGGGATCGAGCCCCACATCGGGCTCCCTGCTCTGCGGGAAGCCTGCTTCTCCCTCGCACACTCCCCCTGCTTGTGTTCCCTCTTTCGCTGTCTCTCTCTCTGTCAAATAAATAAAATCTTTAAAAAAAAAGGAAAATCTATATCAAATCCTGTCACTCTACAGGAGGAGCTCTTTTAATTGTCAAATTATTTCCAGAAGTATTTTTGTATTTTCACCCATAACAGATGAGTATCTCCGATTCACCACAGTGTTACCTGCACAGATATTTAGCAGCAGAAACACTTAAATATAACTTAATTCCTAAGGAAAGCATCGTTGAATGTAGAGCTTGAGAAAAAGGAACAGCATTCAGACCTTTCCCTAGAACTGGGTTAAAGACTGTTGCCTAGAGTATCATGTACATTTATTTCAGGGATGAATATAGAAACTTCAACTATGTCCTTTAGTATTTTTTTTTTGAAGATTTTATTTATTTATTTGACAGAGACATAGCGAGTCCTTTAGTATTGATGAGTAAAATCCATTTTAAAAGTGTCTTGTGCCCTTGCAGCAGAGAGAAGTAC